TTTGGAGCTAGTTTCGACACCCGGGAGGTGAAATTACATATTTTCTTACCTCTGGATCTTCTTAGACGCAAGTGAAACAAAAGCAAAACGCAAAGTATGTAATCGAAGACGATTAAGTGTTAAAACGGTACCTGCAGGAAATGAAAACAGCTGCAGGTTTGTAGCTAATGTGTCAGCGTTCAACACAAACCCTGTGACGTCACGAGAGGAAGTGACAAACAGTTTGAAACGCAATTTGAATCCGTCTGTTTTCATTGGCGAAACACATTTGTAGCTTGGAAATGCGGCTAGAAATACGGCTAAAATGAATTATGCGCGTCTGTATGTGTGAGAGGCCATTCTTCACATACCGTACTCTTCCTGACAAATATAGACACGAAGGGCCCCGTGCTGAGGGGCCCCTGAGTGAATGACACTTTATGTCACACAGTACCCTCTCACACTATTGATTGTTTTCCTGTTACAGTACAATTAAAAAAAAAAAAAGAAACATCAAATGAAGCAGTGTTATATAAATTCAGTTTGCTGTGACAAATTACATTAAATTAACAAGTTGTATTTTCAGTGGGTTTTGAGATGACTATATCTAGAAATGAACTTTATTTGACATTTGCCTTAGAGCAATGCTCTTATTAAAAATGTACCCTCCTGATTAGCAGTTAGATAAATTAGTCTGAGATTTATCATACTTTATGTATCATTTTGTAATTACATTATACACATTTTTGTGTGATAACAGACTGTAAAGTATACCTTACATAAACACTACCATTCAAAATTAATTGGAGTCATTAATCATTTTATTAAAAACAAAAAAAAAAACAGTATTTTTATTCAACAAGGATGCCATTTAATCCCACAGGTCACAATAGTGACCGTAAAAAGGTTTTCATTTATAAAGCTCTAAAAACCTTACTAACTGATGTTTTAGTAAATAGCCAATTTAATCTTGTTTTAGCAAATATGGAAAAAATAAAGGGTCTCAATTAAATATACGCAGTTTCACATGATTAGTGCAAATTGTCACATGACCAGAGCAGATAAAGGGTCTCAATGAAATATGTGCAGTTTCACATGATTAGTGCAGTTTATTTGCTGTTTGCACCTTGAGAAGATGATAACTGCATCAAAGCTCGAAAATAAAAGGCTAGTAAAGTATGTTAACACAAAGATATGACAAAGATTTTTGGTACACATTATCTTTAAGATGTCTAGTATTAATATATGAATTAATATATATTCAGTTTTGTTGAGTGTTTTGTTTAGGTATACGATGTAAATCCAATTGCAGTTGTTAGTGAAAATTACACTAAAATGTTGCAATGACAAAATATTGCACTAAATTAAAAGTTCAAATGTTACAAATAAGTTACAATATTGATGTCATAATACTGGTAGCACTAATATAAAAATTTGATGATATACTCTACAAAAAAGTAACAATTTTGAAAAACGTTGGTTGTATTTTTTTTCCTATCAATGGTTTGTTTTTTTTTTTAAGATTTATTTTTGGCATTTTATGCCTTTTATTTAGATAGGACAGTAGGTCGACAGGAAGCGAAGTGGGTGAGAGAGAGAGAGGGGGGTGGGATCGGGAAAGGTCCACGAGCCGGGACTCGAACTCGGGACGCCCGAAGCGCAAAGGCGCTTTAAAACACAATTTTTCACACATTTTTCCCAAAAAAATTTAAACAAATTATTTCAAAGGGTTACCAATGACACATCATTTGGATATTTTCATGTCGGGGAAATATTTGGGATTAAACGGGTTAAGTTGATCAAAAGTGACACTTACATGGTTACTTTTTATTCTAAAACTCCTGGAAAAAAAGGATTGTGGTTTCCACAAAAATATTAAGCAGCACAACTGTTTTTAACACTGTTAAGAAGAAATGCTTCTTAAGCACCAAATCAGCATATTAGAATGATTTCTGAAGGATCATGTGACACTGAAGAATGAAGTGACAGCTGCTGGAAACTCAGCTTTGCCATCACAGACATAAGTTGCATTTTACAATATATTAAAATGGAAAATAGTTATTTTAACTTGTAATAATATTAAGCAATAGTACTGTATTTTTAATCAAATAAATGCAGCCTTGGTGAGCATAAGAGACTTTCAAAAAATATCCTACCAACAGCAAGCTTTTGAATGGTAGTGTACATCAGTAAATGTCAGAGAAACACTACAAACTACTCTTTAAATTTACCATTTTAAATAAGTTGAATCTGAATTTAACAGAGTACTAACTAAAAGTCCCTTCTTAGGTAAAATAAATTATCAATGGTCTATAAATGTTTTTGTATTGACTTTAAAGCTCTATACATTTCTTCTTAACCAGACAAAGGCAACACAAAACAGTTTGACAACAAATTAGAAACAATACAGCAAATGAACCAGTCAAGGGTAAGGCCAAACCAAAATAATTTATTTTCTTTTTGTGACATTTTATGCAGACAGCTAGAATTTAGTGTCTAACTTCAATCCATTGTTATATAATTCTTCCCTTTGCCACACCAACCCCTAAATCAATTAACAGTAATAACCCAAACATTAAAGAGAAATTTGCTATTTTCTGTAGATTTCTGCAAGCCTGTCAACATCAATATCATTACCTTATGCTCCTAGTATAATTTCACATTACATAACAATAAGATTTTTTTTTTAAACAAAGTTAGTGCATTTCATTATCCTAAACCACTAGCTGCTCATATTCATTAATGAAAACAAGGAAAACAAGCCCCAGTGATTTGTTATTTACCGCATTACTAAGCCTCTAGTAAATGCATCAAGTATTTTCTCTGCTGAAAAAAAAAAATAAAAATACAAATATGTTAAATCTGTGATTCTCTCCCAATGTCTTTTTGTACATAGTCATGATAACAAATTTACAAGGGACGGAGGTTGCATGGGGGATGGACAGCAGAATTAAAATAAATTAAAAACCAATTTTTAAAAGCAATACTTTACAATGAATTGAACAGCAATACTGTATCCTCCTGATTAAATGTTCAAATAACGGCACCAATTCACCACAGCAACTTTTTTGTAATGAACGCACCCCTGCTACCCATATTCAGTCATTATCAGGTACCATCTACCAAAGCAACTGTAATTAAAATAAATTAAAAACCAATTTTTAAAAGCAATACTTTACAATGAATTGAACAGCAATACTGTATCCTCCTGATTAAATGTCCACATAACGGCACCAATTCACCACAGCAACTTTTTTGTAATGAACGCACCCCTGCTACCCATATTCAGTCACTATCAGGTACCATCTACCAAAGCAACTGTCAATTTCTAATTATCCAAACACATGCCATCCTATCCAAAAAAAAAAAAAAAAAAAACACACGCTGGCATTGGCATAGCAATGACGACACTCACATTTCCATGGCAAAGCTATATGAAACTTTGCAGCAATCTAACGAGAGGATTTTGCACAGATATTGCCATTTATCCAACAGTCAAAATGCTCTATTTAGGGAGGACGAAATGTATTCGTTTAAATAAGGGGTTTGTATTACAATTAATGGAGGACACCTTCAGGGGCTACCGAGCATATAACATTCAATTCTCCTTTCAATCTCATCTCCTTCAAACAATAAAACTGCATACTTTGCCGAATTGGAAGTTCATAAAAATGCGAGACCAGTATTGGTGCTGTAAGTGACAGGAATGAGATGAAACATCACCCTGAGCCAGATAACCCACTCTGGGCATTAGATTTGCACATAAATCATCATAAAAATGGCTGAAAGAGACCAGCACTGTTGATTTTGGTTTCTAAATGATCAAAAGCTGAAAAATTCAGGATTTCTTCTACTGGAACACAAAAAGATGAGCTGATTGTGCCTTATTTTAGATATAACAGTGGTAACCATATTTTATCATTTCAACAGTAATGGATAGAAACTAAAATTCAGACCAGCTTGACGACCAACTGCTCCATACAATCAACCAACTCTGAATGTACTGACAATGAATATAAGAAACCCTCTAAATAAGAACCAATCCACATAACGAACATGATTCTGACTCTGCCTTGCATTACTCCAATCCACCACCACCTTGTTGTAAACATAGTCAAGAGCCTGACTGATTATCAGGATATTTGAGCAGACATTTGAGCAGTCCAGGAAGGAGAATGCACAAAAAGGACAAATCTGAGATGACACAAATTTCATGAGTACCTATGTACCTGACTGTTATCATTCACAGGCTGTTGGTTACTCAAACTAGCTACAAAAACAATGACAAAATCACACATAAAATGAAAAAGAAACGAATCACCCATCAGCAAATCAGTGACATAACAGCATCATAATTGGCAGGCTCTGACTTCACGAAGTGACAGTAGGCTATATATTTGAATCATTAACAAGGCTCCAAAGTTGATCGTAAGTAAATCCAAACACCCGTTCCAGAATTAATCACGAGCTACAGTATGTCACACGAACTAATGCAAAACTCCAGACCAAATCGCACTGTCAGCCCTAAAGATACTTGCGAAATTATTCACTCAAGCACGAGTGGCGTATTCTACACGGGATCTAAATCCCAGATGAATCGACTCTAAAGCAAACCGCAAAATTTCATTTACACGGTCAAACCACCCCGGGGGTCGAGCGCCCAGTGTCCTGTGATTGTGAATGAAGCACCCGAAAACTAAAGAAAAGAAAAAGATGAATCATTGCATGTCAAAGTGATATCTTTGTATAGGTACATGACATCGTTTATGCATGTTCCTTTTCTTAGTGCATATGCTCTTTGCAGACACCGATCAGGGCAATCAGACCACCCATTTTCCCCTTTCCCAAGCTAAGAGGCCACCCTCCTTTCAAGAAGAAAAAAAAAAACTCGCATGGATTTACATTCTGAAGGGACATTGTCAAGTTAGAAGCATAAAATGTTTTTTTTTGTTTGTTTCCTATTCGATGGCGTCCTTCAGCAAGCAACAATATATCTTATATATATATATATATATATATATGCGTGTGTAAATATTCATACATTAAGGATTTCTGTTTAGAGTCTTTACTTTGGCGATATGGGGGGGATGTTCTGCTCTTTCCCAGTGTGTCTGGAACCTCCCTGGGGGGAACCGCGATGGCCGAAAGGAGGGCGTCTCTGTTGCTCCCGTAGTTTGAACCCCCCTGCACTGGTTCTGGGGGGTCCATTGCTGCGAGAAAAGCCCTGGGAGTCACGGGCCGGTCGGCCCTCCCTGGCCTTGCAGTTTCCCCCCGTTTCCTGAGGCCGCTCCTGTTTGTTTGCAGGGCTGGAGGGCTGCTGCTCCTCCACCTTGTTGACGCGCAGCTCTCTCAGAGGCTGCGTGCTTGCATTGTTGGGGCTGGAAGTGGATGCTGAAGGAGGGGGATCCTTAGGTGGTCGCTGACATACTTCAGCGTAACTGAGCTTGCGAGGTTCCTGAGGAGAAGAGGGGACAAATTAGAAAAAGGTTTCTCAATTTGCACTAGCCTTTAAGTACAGGGTGGGAGACGCATCTCAACAACATATTCAAAGATAGGTTACAGAACTTTGAATAGCTGTGGTATATGGAAATGTCTGGGAGACTTAAATAATGTCCGTTTTAGGTTTGAGTTTAGATGGAGGGTGTTAATATATTTACCCATGCGTACCATATGTAAATAAATAAATAAATAAATAAAAGGCATGTGATCAGCTAAGAAAAAAATGAATTAAACAAAACAAAGACATTACTATTGCAAAATAATATTGTACTGTACAATACTAATATTTAGAACTGTCTTAATTTCTTTGATTTGAAACATTCAACCATAGAGGTTACCACAGAAAATATTTACATTATTAAGATTATATTTATAGAGTTTTATTTTTATAGATTAATACACCTAGATCTTAAAACATATTGAAATAAAAAACTGAAATATAAATAAAAAATTAAATATATGCAGTCTTGGTGAGCATAAAACACTTCTGTAAAAAAAAAACAAATATATATAAATATAAAAAAATATTGATAATAGTTTTGATTAGTTAAAAAGCCAAATATTTCTACTGTATTATGTTAAAAACATATGTTACCCAGTGTTTTGTGATAAAGAATTCAGATTTTAACTATTCACATCATAGTTCTCAGGTAAGAAAAAACAGAAATATGTATAAAAAAGAAAAAAAAATCACATACCTGTAAGTAAATAAAATAGATACTGTTATATGTCGTAACATCAATATTTTCAAAAACAAATAAGTTACATGGTACACTGCAATATATACAGATTACAAAAAAAACAATTGTAAAAAAAAATATGTAAATATACAATAAAACTTATTGTAATATAATGGAATAGTCATACATTGGTACTATGTAAATACAAAAAAAAAAAAAATGCAAGTAAGGGCAGGGAGTAAGGGAACATTAATCACCCAGGTCAAAAAAACAAACAACCAAAAAAATCCTACATCTAGATTAGGACTGTTTCATTTGTAGGACAGACTAGAAATAATGGAAAAGTGGAGAGAGAAAATGAGAAAAGAATGGGGTCTTGAACCTACATCCCATTGAACACAGAGTCTATAGTTCTTCAGGAAGACCAGAGACACTCACATCACTGACTACTTGGCCCTTCTGAATATAACCGTCAGCCTGAGAGAAGCAATAACTCACCAGCGCAGGAGTACTGGAGGGGGCAGTGTTAGATTGGGGGGTGGCTGCAGGTGTGGCCGAGCTGGCCTGAGGCTTTGGACCAGGTGCTGTTGGGGCAGGGGTGGGTGGCATGGCTGCAACGGGGCCAGAGGTCACAGACGTCTCTTTATAAACCGGAGGCTCCACCTTCTCTGGTTTCTTCTCCAGGTGGTTGGAGCTACAAGACACAAGTAGCAAAACTCAGACACTAATAAAAACAAGATTCAGAATGCCAGTCATTTGTAACAATCGTTTACCTGGAGGTCACGGGATCAGGGACGTGAGCAGTCATCTTGGCTACAGGCTGGGTGGGCCTAGAGAAGGTCTCCTCTGAGGCTGGGCCTGCGGGACTCGCAGCGGACTCTTTGTTTGAATCCTGCTGCTGGAGAGAAATTAAACAACACGCAATGAGCAAAACAAAAACAATCAGAGTGGTGTTAAAACATATTATCGTATTTTAACATACCTTTTCCCTATTCAGGCCCCGTACAACATCAGAGAGCCGGTTCTCCAGCACAGGCTCCCCCTGCGGACTGGCAGAGCAGCCAGGCAGCGGAGGGAAGTTGGAGGCAGCCAGGTCAAACTTGGGGGGTGGGACCTTCACTTGAGACAGGGGAACTGATCTCTGTGGAAACAAACAAGAAAAAAAAATAATTAAGAAGGCATAAATAAGAAGAGGTTCAACTGTAACCAGCAACACACAAAAAAAAATGCATTACTGTTGTGCGATCATCCTCTCGCCGCCTTCGAGTGCCTCTGTATGTTGTTCTCCTGAAACAAAAGATTAACACAAATTTATAAAATGTACGATTTGATTGAAATTTAATTGCAATGACAAGAGGTGAAACACTCCATAATTGCACTAGTTCACAAGGCTAAACTAAAATAAAAGGATTACATATTGGAGCTCACATCGGACCCGGAAAAGAGGGCAGCAACTACTGACCATTTTGATAATTTATACACTACCATTTAAAAGTTTGGGGTCAGTAAGTGTTTTTTTTAAGAAATTAATACTTTTATTCAACAAGAACCTTTTAAATTGATCAAAAGTGACAGTAAAGACATTTACATTGTTACAATAGATGACATTCAGTATTAAGAAAGGAAAACCTGACAAACCTTCCACGTCCCGCCATGGTACCATCATCAGTTGGATCATTGGAAGCTAGGTGTGGAAAGGATGAGTTGAGCTCAGTGGATGACAGCACTGGCCCGGCGCTGGATGGAGGCTGGGGACTGTGCAGGCCAGACAACCCATCCACAAGAGCCACCAGAGACACAGTGGAAGACAGCCCATCATTAGCCCTCGTCTGAGGCTTCACATGGTTCCTACTCAAAAAGCAGAAACAGAAAAACACATGAGATTTGCTTCTATGTAACAGTGTCTTCTGTCCATACAAACTTTTTTTTTTGCTAATAATTGTACAAGTCTGGATGTAGATGATGGTTCTTCAAGTAATGGGCAGCATGCAATTACTCCAAAATAAAAATGGAGACGACAAAGGCATATTCTGGCATTAAAACCAGTATTTTTCCTGCCAGTGAGCTTACATTGGCATCTATCACAATTTTATTTGTTTTTATGGTTTATTGCCTGTAGTAAACTCACTTCAGGCATTTAAATTAGGGCTGTAAATGGAGTAAAATATAAATTTTTTAGTTAGTACATATATATATATATATATATATATATATTTTATTTTTATTTTTTTAATTAGGGGTGTAACTAATTCGTATTGAACCTTTGGTACGAGGCTTTCGGTTCGGTACACATTTCAAAATGAACGATTTGTTGGACTAATCCGATTACATTTGGAAAATAAAAGAGCTGAAAGTGTGTGAAATATAATGTTCTCAGTGCCAGTGTGCTCAACAAGGCAGCCCAAATGACGTAACAGGCAACGTGCTATCTGCCCCGTGATAACCTCCTCTTGCTGGGATGCGTCGAAAGACAATGATCTTGTATCGACGATAGCCAGAGATATTGTCAAAAACATCAATTATTGGCAATATTAGGAGGATTTGGCATTTCCATTTAATGTAGGCCTGTTACATTCTTATTTTTACTAGGCGTATTATTATTATGAAGTTACATTTATTATTAAATTTTATTATTAAATTGAAATTTCAATGAATTTGCCCCGCAAAACCACATAACTGACGTACTGCGAGGATAACAAAAGATAAGGCTATTTACTTCTCAAATAAAATGTTTTAAAAAAGGTCTTTTAAAACAGGTCTATCATACAATTAAATATAGGCCTATAATTAAAATGTTAACACTGCAGTCATCAATAAAAAAAACAATTAAATAAAAAGCTTTATTTAGCTTATTTAAAGCACCGACTTTCAAAAACAACCTGTTTAACATGAAATACATTTCTTAATTTTTTTTCACTATGTATGGGCCCACAAGAGAAATATTAAGGGAATAAATGAAAACAGTTAGATATAATATACCGTTATCAGCATATGTTGAAGTAGATTCGTCTCGCCGTCTTTGAGAGAATATGCGGTGGCAGATGCAGAAAGGTCTGTCATTACTCTGTGATTCCGTTTTACTTTCATTTTCTGCATAGTGAATTGACTGAGATTAAACTTAAACTCCGCGGACCCGGATACGGGTCCAAAATCGCGTAAAAAATGTTTATGCTTAATTTACATAGCCTTCCTTATATGGTATCAGCCCATATATGGGTTCATTTGAAAGCTTGGAGTGTCTTCTTTACAAAGAATACCATACATCTTGGTTTTAGGATTCATAAAGCAGTAAAATTAAGCTTAGAAATGTATTCGTCCCACACACGAATTTCCGCCTAACGATTGCAAATAATTTTTCCGAAGAATGTGTATTTTATATATTTTTCACAAAACAGTCAAGTCATATATCACAAGAAAGCTCTCATTCTCAGGAATTTGACTATGTAGATTATTTCACAGATCGAATGATCTTCAATAGAATCGCGATGTGAAATTTCTCACCTCTATGCAAATTTTCGTATGGGTTACATTCCTACTCGTAGCACTGCTTCAGTCAGCCGCAAACAGCCACAAATATCTATATACTCTATATTATCTTTTAGATTAGGATCTCTTCTTTCAAACAAGACCATTTTCACGTTTCTGCATGCTTCCATCGGTGAGATATATAGCGTTTTGTCCAGATGCGCACCAGAAAAAACATGCGCACTTTCTGCTCTCCAAGTCATAAACTCTAATGCCAGGCAAGTCTGATCTTTTACAACTCTGATGAGTCTGTCGATTGTAATTGGTCAGGTTTTATGACACACACTCACGCCGTGCCAGTCAGAGCTGTGAAATTTGACACCTCTGCTTCAACAGCGGGGGAGGGTGATCGAGGGGGCAGACACGTATCCGGATCCGGGACAGCGCACCTCGCAGCGTGATGTTGTTTGGGACTTGTAGTTTTGGACTGGTTTGAGAGCAAAACGGCCACGCATAACTCCTGTTTAGAAGCTGTTATTTGAAAGATTCTTTTTTTCTGGTACATTTTGGCATCTAATGGCATCAAACAAAGTAAATTGCAAAGAGCTGGATTTAATAGAACCTGAATTACAGATTTTCAAAATAATAATTTTTTTTTTTTTAAATAAAAAAGCGCCTATGTTTTTTTGTTTATTGTAATACTTGAAAAATATATAATGCTATTTAAGGCAGGGCATATAGGACCTACAATAATGTACAGTATTTGAAAAATAATGTGTTTTTTGAACATTAAAGCATGTCAACATATTCTGTTACACCAAATACACCAAATAATGATCTTTAAAAAAGCATCATATGACCCCTTTAACGGAAATATTAAGGTGATAATAATTGCAGTAATTATTTTCCTCTTACTTTATAACCCTCCCCCACTCATTTTGTTAGTAAACCAGAATTTTGAGCTAAACACCAGAGCTGGTATTTTAGCTGTCTGAACAGGATAGTAAGAATGGATTGATGATTGTTGATATTTGAAGTTTTTGAAGCTGTACCTGAAGGCATTTATTACATTCTTTCTTGAATAGAGTGGAACACTGTGGGAACAGTAAAAATATCCAAGTGATCTACTGTAACTGCCTACATTCTTACACTACAAAAAACAAGCTTGTATATGAATGAAACTTTCTAACTTCTTTTATCAAATACAAAAATGGGAATGCAGATTTCAGACATCCTTTAAAATAGAGTACAACAGTGCCCGCACCTTTTTTCAGTGGCCTTGGTTCTGAGAGTATTCTTACAGTCATTTTTCTCATGGAAATTTAAAAAAAAAAAAGTAATTGAAGAGTTCTAACAGACAAAGGTACAAAACTGCACATAACGGCTTTAATGAGGCAAAGAACTACAATCCCAAGAAACATTGTGAATGCCAAATTAAAACTGATTTAATTTTTAATTTAATATAAGTAGTTTGAGAGTGTAGGGAGACTATCACAACATTCACAGTGTTTCATGAGAGTGGGTGGGCCCTAAAGTGTTCTTTCGATTCTCTGATTGGTGGATATTTTTTTGCAGAATCATGGGTAATGTAGTTTTTCACCAGGAATTCCACTGCTAAACACGATTATTTAAAATTAAAGAAAGTTGAAATTATGCAGTCTGTTAGCTTCAACGAAAGCATATACCACAGATTATAACCTCAAAGCTCACAGTAATGCTGTCTTTTAACGGTTTAAGTTACCATCAATTCCCTTGCAGAAAAAATGAATTTACTGCCAGAACCCTGTTGCACTCTATGATGAGGTTAGAACTATACAGTTAATTAATTCAAAATAAACTGGTAGTATAATGAAGTGCCCAACTTGACCTACCGGTTCCTGCTAAAGGGACGGCTAAGGTTGAGAGAAGTTGAGCCAATTTTGTAGTGTCCAGGTGAGCTAAATCCATTGACAAAACCACTGTTGGGAAAAGGTGCCTGTGGAAAACGGAATCAGTTAAAACAATTAAATTTAAAAAAAATCATTACAACAAAAATGATTGTTAGGTGCATCCCTAGTCAAACTAGAAAGACTTACGAGGGGTGTCTCAAAGTATGGAGTCGGAGATGGCGTCCAGGTAGGAGGTACTATGCCGTAGAGTGGGTACTGCTGCTGGGGGCTGTAAACAGGCTGCATGAAGAGAGGGGAGCTGTACTGGGACTGAGTGTGAGATTGCTGAGGATACACACTGCAGTCCAGGCTGCGGTAACCATTCTTCGCAAAGAACGTGTTGATGGCTTTTATTCTGGCCTGAGAACAGGAAACGCAAAAAGGTAAGAACCCACCTGACATGTATAAACAAATTTAATGCTGCACATTTTTGTAAAGACCTTACCATGATTGGTTTTCCCTGAAATGTCTTCACTTCTTCCCTTAAATATTTGTATGCCTGGATGGAGGAAACCCAATTAGTTTCAAACCCAAGGGTAAGCAATTTGTTTAATCTCTAAATAAAAGCAGAAATTCATACCTGTTGAGCGTCTGTATCCGACTGGAATGTAATGTACCAGTTGTTGTTGTGTGCAAACTCCACGCTTATTACCTTGGGACAGTTGTCATTCTTAAACAAGGCTTCCACTTCCTGATGAGAACAACAAACAAGCACATAAATATAAGAGGATCCTAAGATAGCCACAGCTTCTACTTCTTGATAATATTTCTCACCTCAACAGGTGTTGTTTCAGGGACTTCTCGCAGAATGATGATGCATCGCTTGTGATTTGGCCGCACCTTTTCCCCTTTTTCGTCAACTTGAACCATCGGAGATGCTGTAGGCGGTCAGAACAATATTAATTTTTGTACTGTGAATAAAAAAACTGGACCATAGATGTAAAATGCAGGCATGTACATCTGAGGACATCCAAGATGAGGTCCGTGTCAGTTGTGAGGACCTTGATTCCTTCTATGCTGGCAATAGTCCAAATAGGGACAAACTGGTCACTGTCCATTTGAGATATTAGGTAAAGATCCTTAGATAAGTTCTCCCTGTGGGATGAAAGAGGAGCATCGGTAAACGCAGCTGATGGGAGGAGAATGGCCGTAAAGTGCTGTTTACTTAGTTGCATTAAATTGAAAGCTTACATCGCATTACACCGCTGCACTTACCTGGAGAAACAGAACTCCAATTCTTTTTTGAGAGACTCACGCAAAGTCTCTTGAGAGACAGGCTGTTCCTCAGGGAGCTTGGACTCCACTGCATGTAAACAAAGAGCATAAACAAAGGTAAGTGTTTGGCAAATGCCTGCTGATTGAAAACACCAACAACAGTTAGC